AAAATGGTGGCTCATTAAGTATGCAAATGAGGCACCACAATATTCATTGCCATGCCTCATTTGCATATGTTCTTGCACAAGGCTGGCCAGTGTAGATGTAGCTTTAGTGACTACAGAAATGCTGGGAATTAACCTTCTTCCACTCAAGGAAGAGTAGAAGCCCCAAAACAAATTAACACACATGGCTTCAGGGTTTGTAAACAGATGCATGTTTCAAAGAGCTTGCAAATAAAGTTTCATCCTACAAAACTAGCATCACACCTAGTAATTGCTACTTCTGACTCACAAGATCCAGAACTCTACCACACAGCAAACATCTGGCCTTAATGCAATAAAATATGTATAAATTAGTAACACAATGGTTTTAAAAAATCATTAAGTTCAGAGTTTTAGATATCTGCAACACTCCAAAAAAATTCTGTTAAAAGATTATTTTTCCTTCTTATCTTAAGCCATTAACACTAGGGTTGCCAGATACTTTAAGGAAAAATCCCAAACATGGCCGGGAAAAAATTGGTTGAGCAACACACACACACACACACACACACACACACACGATCCGCCCCAGACACAGAAGAGGAAAAATGTCCCTGCCAGACTCCTATTGAAGAAAAACAGAAAGTACAGGACATTTTGCATATTCAATATTTTCTCTCTCTTTTTTTTTTAACTGGACAGAAGACGCAATTACCAGACTGTCTGGGTGAAAATCACACACCTGGCAACCCTAACCCCATGTAGGGAAGGGGTGGGGGAGTTCCCTTTCCTCCCCCTCTTGCAACGGATTCCTCCTCCCCCCACCTCCCAGCCTTTCTCTCAGGTCCTTCATGCCTCCTTAACTGTTCCCAAAGTTGCTTTAACCTTCGTTCCCAAAGGTGCCCCATGCAGGGAAGGGGCTCAGGGGCTTCCCTTCCACTCTGGGAATGGATCCCCCCTCCCTCCTTTTCCTCCCACACACCTGCTCACGGCTAAAGGAGTTTTGCTGGGAGCCTCTGCAGCCACCTGAGCCTGGGAATGAGCTGCAGCCTCTTTTTCACTGCGGGGCTCCAGCATGTGGAGCGTCTCCCTCCCAATCTCCTGTGCACACCTCTCCCACATTCAGGAGAGAAACCAAAAGTATCTGGCCGTACTGCAGGGGAGGCTGGGGGAAGTTTTTAAAGTTGCCCCAGAGACACGCCCCCTAGACGTGGCAGGAGGAAAATGTACCAGCTAGCCTTGTCCAAGAAAAACAGAAAATACTGGACATTTTGCATGTCTGGTATTTTCTGTGTTTTTTCTTTTTTTTTTTAACCAGACAGAAGACACAATTACTGGACTGTCCGGGTGAAAACTGGACACCTGGTAACCATAAAACACATATGTAAACTTTGTTTGAAATGCAATCATTTAAATGTCCTCCTAGCGCGCGCGCGCGCGCACACACACACACACACACACCATACAGCTTGCTTCCCTCTCTCCCTCCAACCCAGCCTAACTGTGAGGACTGGGAATTGCAGAAGGTGATTCAGGAGTTCTGGCTGAGACTTCTGTTCTATTGCTGGACCCTTATCTCATCTTCTAATGTTAGAGCTGCTTCTTCCCAGCCTTTTTTTCTACTAGTGGTGGTTGAAGAATGCAGAAAAATCTATACACACAAAAATCAGCTACTCTATAAATGACAAGAAAAGCAGCAAAACAATTTTACCAAAACGTTTAAGATTTCAGAAATTCTTGTCTAGCTATATTCCTCATACATCTTGGCTTCCGACTTGTTTTAAAAGTTCTCTGGTGAGCCTTCCCACCTATCTTTCTGAAGGCAATTGGAACCAAACCTGTTTGCTCTAGTCAGAAAATTTTGGCTACGTCTACACTACGAGTTTTCTCAGCAAAAAATATGCTAATGAGGGATTCGATCTAATTTGCATATTTTCTGCCACTCCGTTTTTGTGCTGGGGTTTTTGAGTAAAAACAAGCAGTGTGGACATTTTCTTTTTGCACAAAACCTGCTTTTTCTGCAAGATTGGTAAACCTCCTTTTTGGGGGTATAAGGATCTTGTGGGGAAAGGGGTTTTGGTGCAAAAAGAAAACATCCACACTGGTTAGTTTTGTGCAAAAACCTGCAGAAAATATGCAAATGAAATAGCAACTCATGCAAATGAGACCCTCATTAGCATATTTTTTGCAGTGAAAACGCATAGGGCAGATGTAGCCTTTGAGTGGAAGGGCAGTTTATTATCCAGCAGTCACTATTGCAAGCATGACTTAATTTACATCAACATCTTTCCATGGCTCTCCTCGGAGAGTACTCTCTAATGGAGGATTTAAATGGAAAGCTCAAAGATAATTTTTTCTGATGCTCAGTGGTCAATTATGAATGAAGTGATCAAATTCCAAGATTCTAGCTCAAAGGAACTTGTGAAATATTGGAATCATATAAATAGGTTGATGACTTCCAGGTTTTTTTTTAACTAAAACTCAATATTCAGGCCTGACATATCCTCTGTGCTCAGGAACTCATAATGAATGTTTAACTCATATCACTGCTCTAATTCCGGTAGGAACAGGGAAATCATTTGGGTCAACCAATCACCTTATTATACATGTCTATACTATATGGCTACATCTAGACTGGCATGATTTTCCGCAAATGCTTTTAACGGAAAAGTTTTTCCGTTAAAAGCATTGGCGGAAAAGAGCGTCTAGATTGGCACGGACGCTTTTCCGCAAAAGCACTTGCTTTTGCGCAAAAACTTGCCAGCTGTCTACACTGGCCCTCTTGTGCAAAAACATTTCCAGAAAAGGGCTTTTGCCCGAACGGGAGCATCAAAGCATTTGCGCAAGAAGCACTGATTTCGGACAGTAGAACGCCAGTGCTTTTGCGCAAAATCAAGTGACCAGTGTAGACAGCTGGCAAGTTTTTGCGCAAAAGCAAGTGCTTTTGCGGAAAAACTTGCCAGTCTAGACGCAGCCTATTAAACATGCCAGCACTTTTAACGATTTAACTCCTTGATGGCAGGGTTGGCCCCATATGCCCCACTGCCAGAGCAGTGCCCACGCCACTCAGACTGGTCAGAGCACCTGCCCGCCATGCAATTCAGTTTGGATTCTACTTAGTCGATTTTGACTGAATTGTCACCAAAACAGGAAAAGACATTTGTCTGATCTCAAGACCCTTACTCCAAGTCAAATTTCAATTTCCTGCTCCAGATGCTCAAAACCCTTGACACTTAGAAAAAGTTAGGAATATAATATGTATATAGCTAGAATGATTCATTTTGAACTTCCCTTGTCCTTGGAAACAGACAAACTATTTTCTATCAAACTTCCTGTCCCTTTCTCAGCCACCAATAAATAAATGTATTAAACCATTTAAGCCTGGAACATTCCTGGCACAGAACATAGGAGCAGTGGATGCTGAGTGATGTTAAAAGGTCACTGAACCAGTTCAGGATTAAATGTTTCTGACTGAACTGGTATTAAGCCTTGCTCGAAGCAAGTCTAATCAAAACTTGATTTGGAGCCCTCTGAAACTGTGTTGGTGTGCATGGCTACTGTGTGTTTTACAAGTGTGCCAGGGAGACCCCAATACTTTTTTACACTGAGAATTTCTCTAGTGTAGACAAGGCTCGATTTATCTTATAATAGCACAAGTCCCATTACAAACACTGTTTATTAGGTACAGTACAATACAAAGTGCACATACACAGACAAAAGGTATCACTGGACTGGTTTGTAATCACTAAGGCCCAAATGAATTGCTGAGCTTCATATGACTGCACTGCACATGTCCCTGAGTAGCTTTTTAGATTGCAGTTTTGGTTTCACTGGAACCAGCATGTTCTCCTTACTATTTTGGGTGGGAAGGTGCAGATTTTAGCATCTAGCAACTGTTGGAGAATTGGAGGCAACTAGGAACGGGAATGTTTAATACATGCAGTTCAGCAAACTCTCACCTGTCTAAAAAGAAAAAAGGTTAAAGACAGGCTAAATGAATAGGAATCCAGGCAGCCCCACCTTGCTCCATAAAGATGAGTCTCCTCCCTCTTCCTGATTGGATTACTAGGGGGCGGGGTTCTCAGCAATTGCCTCCTTCACTTCTAACTACAAATGAGAGAGGAGAGCAGCAGTGTGCTGGAAACTGAGTGAGCAGCAGCAGCACCACCACCACCACCACGACGACGACGACGACGACGACGACGGCATCAGAGCTGTTTTTCCCCTGTTTTATATTTGGAGTCATCAAGCAGGTTTCTAGCTGAAGAGAAGAAGGGAGTGATCTACTCTTTGGGATCAAGCAGCAGGTATATGCACAGCAAATCCTTCTCCTCAATGTAGTGAGAGGAAAGAAAGACAGTAGCTGCTCCAACTGCAGGGCAGGTCTAATGGGAGTGGGGGGCATATTTAGAATCATTGAGAAGTTAGAAATACTTCTTTGAAAATGACCAAAATACTGTGCAAAAGTCATCATTGTAAAATAAGACTTGAAGTTGTGTTGCTGTAAGCAATGGCAATTTAACAAGTGACCAAGAGTAATGGAGACACCCCTTGAAAGGCTATTTGGTTCACTTTGGGTAGAAGCTGAAGTTTCATTTTGATTATGCTCGGTAGGCTGGGGGTGTACATTTATGTCTATATTCTCTTAACCCACAGATTTCCCAGTGTCTGGGTTTTCACATAGATGAACGGTAAAATGGGGCTTAATTTACTAGTGAAATATCTAGGTTTTTATCATAATTTAATATTTCTTAAGTACTTGAATTTATTTAGATGTAATATATCGGCCCAATAACCTCTTTGATTCAACATGATGCTGTCACTGTCCAACATAAAATAGTGTTCAAGAAGGCCTTGGGTTTGGTATAGAGAGACCTTAGTGCAGTGGCAAGGATATCAATGCAAATTTGATTAGCCTTTTATTAAAAAGGAAAAACAGTTAAAGTATTTGAAATGTAAAATATTTCTTAAGGCTTTCATTTTACTAGCATCTTTTGTTCCCTTGCCTGTTAACTGGAGAGAGTTTTTAATTAAGAAAAAGCCTTTGTTTGATAGTCTCCTAGATGGTAATCACTGTCCTTTTTGGGGAAAAGAGCAGAAATGACCTGGTGTTATTCTGTTACAGTCCAATCCGTTTCCTAGGCTATGCATATGCTGTAAGGCCATGGTATGATTTCCTCACTCAAGTGCATCTATCTGTGGTAACTTGGTGAGGGGTGGTGTGAGAAGTGTGGCTGCAACAGTATGGGTGCCAGCAGTGGAGGAATGAGCCATTCCAAGTATGTACCAATGATATTTTCAGGAGGGTTGTACTGAACAGATAGCTACTTTCTTCCAGTAGTTTGGTGACAGGTGGCCCAAGTATATGAATATGAGCAGATCACAACCCTAGCTCAGAGACTAGACATTGCCTCAATCAGCCAGTGCTGTGGTAGCTAGCCACTCCCTCATTACTGTGTTCACCAATTAGATCTAATTTCTGATGGGTCAATTTTGGTTCACTGATTTCTGGTCCCACACTTCTCTGGTTTACCAGATATGCTCTTAATACAGGCCTTGAAAAATAGTCATAGATTACAAAGCCAGAAGGGCCCTGTGACGGACCCGGCGGGGTCCGCACTAGAGGAGGGAGCGGGACTCCCCCTCCCTCTGGGGAAACCCAGCGCCGCAAGCGGCGCGCCGACCGGCATCGCAGCCCCGGAGTTGGGGCAGCGGCAAGCCCAACCCAGGGCACCCCGCCGGGAGCGGGGGAGGGCGCGGACCGCGCGGAAGCAGCCAGCCCGCCCGCCCCGGCTTGCGGCTCTGAACGGGGCACGGGCCCACGCTGGGGCAAGGGCGGGGGCGGCCGCAGCGCACGGGCGCGAGCAGACGGGAGGGGGGGCAGGAGCGAGGAGGCAGCGACCCTGGCTTCCAGGGGCGCCAAGGGCTCGGCCCCCGGGGCGACCAAGAAGGAAGGAGTCAGCAGCTGGCGACTCGCGCTGGGACGCACCCGGAGACTTCGGCGCGGTGAGTGCACCCCAATCAGCCCCATCGCCAGGGCGGACAAGCAGGGAGTGGAAGGAGCCCGAGGCAGGGCCCTTTTGGCGCCCATGGGCGGAGGAGTTGAGGGCTGACGCCCCATCCGCCGTGGAGGGCGACGTTTAGACGCCAACTCCACTTAGGGCCTCGGGCTGGGACCCGGTGGTGAGGGAGGGCCTGGGTCCCCCACTCCTCCACCCTCCCTGCAACCCTCAAGAACTGGAAGCTGGGTGAACTGCACCAGCCGCAGAACCTTCCAAGGGCCAGGACCCCAACCCCTTTTCCCCAGACACGCCACGACCAAACCCCCCCCTCTCCGGCCGGAGGAGGGGGTCTGAACTCGGGGTTCGCCGAGCCCTCTCGGCCACCCCTGGTTGGGAGGTGATCGCACCCCCCCCCACAATAGACCCTGCCAACAAACCCTGGGGTTAGGGACAAGGAGAGCAACGAAGGCGGTGGGTCCGCGGAGCCCCGCCCCTGGCTCTGTTCGAAGCCAAGAAGAGGGGGCGCGAGGCGCTCGCACCCGTAAACCTGCCACAGGCCCATTGTGATCATTTAGTGTGACCTTCTGTATAGCACAGACCATAAAACTTCCCCAAAATAATCCCTCCGACATAGCTTTTAGAAAGCTTTCCAATCTTGATTGAAAAATTGTCGGTGATGGAGAATCTACCCGAAACATTGGTAAACTGTTCCAATGGTCAAAGACTCTCATCATTAAAAATGTACACCTTTATTTCCATGTTATACCTTGCTCTGCTAGACTAAAGAGCACATTACTAAATATTTGTTTCCCATATCGATATCTATAGACTGCAATCAAGTCATCCCTTAACCTTCTCTTTAATAAACAGTCTCTCACTATAATGCATGTCTTCTAATCATTTTCATGGCTCTTCTCAGGACTAAACTAGTGCTTTTGGCCGTAGTATCTCACTGGGAGTTCACATTCAGCTGAATACGTGTCACAACCCCAAAATCTTTTTCAGAGTCACTGCTTTCCAGGCTAGAGAATTATGTAAGTAGGCCTATTTGTTGATACTAATTCCGTTGTTCGGTCTCCCTTTTGCACCTTTTCCCATCAACATTTGTTGTAGTAGGTTATTGAGACACTACCTGAATTTTCACCCACCTTTCACAGTTCAGCTCACAATTAGGGGCAGGTCAGAACTTGGAGGTGAGGTTGTCAGAACAATACCCTACTGTCACAGCTAATATCTCCAGTGGGAAATTATACTCCACTTTAGGAATACAGCCTTTTCTCTTTTTTCCCTGACTTGACCTCTCTGTTGACCCCTCTTCACTTCCTTCCTGGCAGCAATTCTCCTTTCTCCCCGACCAGAAGTTTCACCCTGAATAAAACATTGGAACAGTTCACCAAAGGGTCTTCCACTGAAATCTTAAAATGAAAATTGGATGCCCTTCTAAGAGAAATATTCCAGTTCAGCCTGAAATTACTGAGCTTGAGACAGGAAGTACTGGCAGTACAGGTTGAAACTCCATAATCTGGATTTTCCTGGTATGGCAACACTCCGATCTGGCATCATTGGGAACATCATTGAGAACACTCACAGGGATAAGCCGATGGGCTGAGGCCAGGAATGCTACCAAACTAGGGGCCAAGAGGGAGCCCCCGGGCCAAAGTGTGGGTGCTAGAGGGAGCACAGAGCTGGCAGGAGGAGTGAGGAGGTCCCTAACCAGCAACAGAGCTGCTCAGCAGCCCCAGGTGGCAGCAAGGCTGCTTGGGGGAGCACAGAGTGCCAGGGGGCAGAGGGAAACTGTGGGGGAGGTTGGTGTTGCCAGGCAGTAGCGGAGCCCCAGGTAGTGGCAGAGCCACTGAGGAGAAAGTGGAGCCCCTGGCCACCAGTAGGAGCACAGAGCCCCAGCCACTGGAGAGAGTGGAGCCCCCACCGCAGGAAGAGTGGAGCTCTGGTAAGAGCCTTTGCAGCCATCTACTGTGGGGAAAGCAGAGCCCCAGGGACAGAGTGGAACCCTGGGTAGCAGTGAAACCACAGAGGGAAAAATGGAGCTCCTCCTCCCCCCCGGCTGTTAAGAGAAGATCAGTGCCCTGGGTGGCAATGGGAAAAAGTGGAGCTCCTGGGTGGCCAGAAGGAAAGTGGAGCCCCCGCCACTTTGACTTTCCCTGGTCCAGCAAATTCCATGCCTCAGGGCCAGTCAGGTCCCAAGGATCCCAGACCAGGGACATACAACCTGTAGTCTATAGCTCATATTTCTCAAGAGGCCAGACGAAAAGATCTCAATAGTCGGGTTCTGACCTTAAAATCTATACATTTCCATTCCTTTCCATATCCTATGCACTAAAATGGTTAGCAAGGAAATAGTCAATGCTGTCACGTAAAGTGTCATAATTAGACTTCAGCACCAGCACTGTAATGAGACTAATGAGGGGTTGGGGAGAGTGAGTCATTGTTTCAGGCTGGAATTGTTTTAGGCGAGCGTTACTGCATTGGTTGCACTTCAAAGGTTTTATTATAAGATTTTGCTAGACTGGACATTTATTTTATTTCTAATGAAAGTTCAGGTTCTGTAGCATTTGATCATGTTAGGTGAGCCACAAATGTGTCCAGCAGGCCTGAACTAAGCTGTAGCACAAGTATTAAACATCTTCACCTTACATTCAATGAAACCCTATTGATGCCCCAAACTATACAGTGATCAATAGGCCTAGCGACCAGAAAGGAGTAGACTCTTGTAACAGGCAGAAGAGTCCTTGATGTATCCCCACCCCTTTTAGCATTCTGGAGGCTGTCTTCAGACTGTTGTGGTGCTTGTAATTTATTTCTAACTGGTGGAAGCTACCCTCTCTGATGTTAGTTGTGTGCCCAGTGGGCCAGGTGATGAGGTATCAACCAGGGGGCAGGAGACTTTGAGTAGTGCCACACAGGAGGTAAGCATGTTTGGAAACTCTAGTGTGAAGAAGAAATAAAGTGAAGGAGCAGGGATAGGAGATATTCCAGATTCTACTGTTGCCATGACTCTAGCTCAACTCCATGTTGGGTGGAACAAAGGCAGTGTAAATATTAAATGAGCATGCAGCCTCACTAGTATAAATGCAATAGTATTCATCACCATATAATTTTAGACAGGTTTCCACTCCCCTTTTAGGGCTTATCTCCTGCCCTCTGTCTCTGTTTTTGTTAGGGTTTGTGCATACTCATTTCTTTAGTGAAACACCACCTGCAACAGTGTTAAATGGATGCATCTTCTTCAGAAAGATGTATCTTTTAAAGTGCTTATTCCTTTATAAAACATAATATAGCTTTCACTT